TCATTTGTTACTCTGTCCTAGAGGTCCCCGGCCACACAGCCCCTCTGTGCATCCTCTTTCTTCTTTTGCTTTTTGCTTTTTCAACGTGGAAGGGGCCTTTATTTAGCTCTTCCTGCCAGATTAAGGACATGTTTTTCATTTCTAGCAGCTTTCCCTCCTGGGACCTCCCACCCTCTTGCTTCCCCACTTCCTCTCTCCCAGGTGCCAGCCTGCCCCACCCGAGGGCCACAGCACTGGCCTCTTGCCAGCCCGCCTGCTGGACTACCACGCCCCGGCTCTGGGGCAGAGGCCAGCGCATCTGGACTGAGCCGAGGGGGATGAGTCAGATGTTCTGGAGAGGCCCTGAAGGGGGGCCCAGCAGAGGCGAAGCCTTGCAAGGGCCTGGCCTCAGGCTGGACCATTCATCCCTCCCACCCTGTCTAGCAATTCCTGAGCATCACACAGAATGCTGGGCCAGGTGCTTCAGGGTGTACGGAGGCATAAAGGGACAGTCCTGCTCAGGTCACACCACCGCCGGGCCATTAAGCCTTGAGGCTGAGAGCTCCAGTCGGCTCTGAGCCTCTCCCTGCCCCTCATCCCTGGCCCCTTCTCTGAGTTCCTCATTCCCCACTCCCTGTCTTAAGCCCCTCACCCCTGACTTCCCTGGAGTCTCCCTCCCATCTCCCACCTCTCCCTGCCAGCCCCCACCTCCACTCCCCTCCCTTCCTCCCAAGTCCCCAGCTTCTGAGTCTGGGTTGGAGCCACTTTGAAACCCTGGGCTCAGGAAGCCACATGACTCCATGGGGAACAGCCAGCATGGCTTGTTCTGAGCCCGCCATTCAGCCCCTCCAACTGACTTGGCCGAGGCCAAGGCCCGGGCAGGCTTGGTTCCTCCCACCCTCACCGCTACCCCATCTCGAGCCTGTGCTCATGCTGTGTCCCTCTGGAAGAGCCTTGTCCCCTTCTCTCCCCTCTGTTGAAGCTCAGCTCAAATACAACTTCCTCCAACAAGCTTGTGCCAAGCACCTGCTTGGTGCCATGCCCGAGCTGCTGCTTGTGGCTGCCGCTTGTGGCTGTGCCAGGGCCTCATAGGAAGGGGCTGGAGGCTGAGAAGGGGCGGTCTGGGTCGGATGGAACCCTGCATGGGCAGGTTGCTTAACCTCTCTGAGTCCACTTCCCCCTCTGTGAAATGAGGGCAATAGTACTGACACTGGATCACGTGTGTGGGGCGCTGCTCCTGGCTGTCTGGTGGGCATGAACAGGGACTGTTAGCTACTGTTACTTAGGCATGTCGGCCAGGGCATGGGCACCTACACGTGATTGGCTGTAGTGCCCAGTGTGCCTAAACCTGGACCATCAGAGCACATTGGGACCATCCTCTGCACAGGACGAGGTGGGGAGAGGGCCAAAGAGAGAGCTGCAGGCCTGATTCAAACCCTGCCTTGCCCCAGGGTGGTCGTGTGTTCCGGCAGTGACCAGACCCTCAGAGCCTCGTTTCTCTGCACCAGCTCCTCTGAGGAGCAGAGTGGATGTAGGTAAAGGCTCCAGAGTGGACCTGGCTTGCAGTTGTGCACTAATAGTGGTTCCGTTTCCTGTTGCAACAGTCTTTGCACAAGGTGGGGGCAGGAGTGAGGGCATCAAAGCAGCACAGCTGGGAGGGGCGGGGCGCCACAGGCACGACTGCGTGCATGGTCCTCCCAGTCAGCCTGCCAGGGACCGCCACTCACCTGCTGAGAATGGCAGGGTCTGGCCGCCCTCTGGGCTCTGCAGTCCTCACAGTGGCACTTTTCACATGCCATTGTCACTGTTTGTCACCCTGTCTCCTTCACTTGAGTATGAGCCTTAGGAGGGCAGGACTTGGCTTGGGCATCGCCATGACTTGCAGGGCCTGGCAGAGCATGGGTGCTCCAGACATGTTGCTGGATGGAGGGATGACGACGGATGGAAAGATGGATGGACGGAGGGAGGGATGGATGGAGGGATAGAGGGATGGCGGGAGGGGAGGATGGCTGGAGGGAGTGATCTGGCCATGCTTCTTGAGCACCCACCCAGTCTGGGCTAGGCCCAGGGCCCGACACTCCAGCCCTGCATTCAAGGAGTGCCCAGTGTGCTTGAAAGGCAAACGAGCAAGCAGAAAATAACAGCAGCCTGTGACAAGGGCCAAGGGAGTAGGCCCAAGGGCTCCAGGAGCCAAGGCTTCCCAGAGGAGAAGCGGGTGAGTGGGATCAGCCTGAGTCCAGTGATGAGTAGGAGGTGTTAGTGACAGCAGCCACCAGCTGCCAGGGCACTTCCTCTGAGCCTCAAAGCAGCACTGTGAAGTGGGGACTGTTCTTGTCCTCACTTCACAGAGGAAGAAGCAGAGGCCCAGAGAGGCCCACTTGCCCAAGGTGACAGAGCTCGGAAGTGGTAGCCCTGGCAGTTGTGGCTCCAGAGTGCGAGGGGAGGAACCTGTTGAGAGGAACTGGGTGACCGGGCTCTGAGGGTCTTGGGAATTGGGCCGAGAAATTTGGACTTGATCTCCATGCACCCCATTTCCCTTTATAATGCAATGATGGGCTCTCAAAGTTGGATGAAGCCTCAGAGATGATCTCCCGGCTCTGTGACCCTCCCCGGAAAGGGGACCCCAGTCAGCGTCCCAAGAACCAACACTGAGAGGCAGTCTGCATGGTCACTGAGAACTGAGGCTGAGTCATCTGGGCCCTGAAAGCTACGTGACCCAGTGCATGACACCCTGCAAGGCCCAATTTCCCCATCTATGCTAAGCACCTAGAGGCAGGAACGGGAATACCTGCCTCTAGGTGCTTAGCATGGAATCGTCATTTACAAACAGGTTCGCGGGTCGGATCTTGTGGCAGGACAGAGTTCTTATGTACCCATTCCACAGAAAGGATGGCTGCGGCTCCGAGAGGAAATTCCTGGTCCCACTGCTAGTTCAGGGCAGAGCTGGGACTTGCCCTCTGACTTTCTTCACCCACGTGACCCCCCAGTCACCTCTGTTGAGAACTCATGGGGCAGGGGGCTCCCTGGCCTCATCGAGCCCTCCTGTCATACTCTGAGCGCTGGTTTACCCAGACCTCTGTTTCCTCCTTGCTGGGCCCTTGTCTCACCTCCACTCTGTTCCAGCCCATCTCGCACAGCCCACTCTGCTTTTCCCTTCTCCAGGCCCAGCTTTCTTGACAAACTTCCTTTTCCCTTTCATTGCTTCTCAGCATCCTCCCCTGGCTTCTGTCTGTCCCCTTCCCCGGTCAACCACCCCAGGTCCACCACCTCCCTGAAAAAGCCCTGGCCCCAGGAGGCAGCTTTAAGGCAGGGCAGGGGCACTGGATGAGGAGTTAGCATATCTGAGTGCCCCTCCTGGCTGTGCTCTGTGTGATCTGATTGGGCCACGCCATGTGACTTTCTGAGGCCTTACTTTCCCCATCTGGAAGAAGAGGGTGGAGGCAGGAGGTACATGAGATCTTTGCTGCAGCTATTTTTAGGTTTACCAATTTGTTCTTAGAGTAGTATGTTGTTAAAGGAGAATAACGTCTTGATAGCGTTCTGAATCATACCAGGGATGCTCAGGATGTTCTGTGAGTTTTTCCTGGGAGCGTCAGGGACTCGGGGGGACCCCAGGAGGAGGTGGAGGGCAGGTGTAGCCCCTTCGACAGTAGTAAATGTAGGGGTCTACCGTTCTAGCAGCTGCAAAGGCAACAGGAAACAACGGCTGCCCCACATCTGTACCTCCCTGGTACAGTCACTGAGCCACTGTGGGGAAAGGAATTGGGTCCCCAGAGCCCAGACCCACATCCTGCTGTGGCCTGGGTGTCCTTGTGAAAAACAGCTTCCAAGAAGGCCACAAAATTTTGGGTGTGCTGTTGGGTTACGTCCTAGTTGATGACTTACTTGGGGACCAGGTTCCTTCAAAGACTGCAGAACAGGCCTCTGGGTTGTCCCCAGCTAGCATCCCACCTGCCTCTACCCTTTCTGCTCTGGCATCTGTCACGGCTGTCCCACCACTCCATCTGCACCCCCTGAAGCATATGCACAGCTGGTGGGACAGCTGTAACAGGCACATCTTTCAGAAGTGGAGGCCAAAGTTTTGTCAGCTTCTCAAATGGGTCTGTGACCCAGAAATAGCAGCACACCTCAGGTCTGCCCTGTATCTGTTCTGTCCAGCAGCTATCCCAACATTCTCCCTAATAGCCATCTGTCCCCACCCCTGACCCCCCTCTCCCGATGGTGCAGAGGGGTGGGGAAAACAGTCAGCCTCAACTCAAATCCTTCCTCTAACTTGCCAAGTGGCCTGGGGTGGGTCATTTTTCATCTCTGTGGGCCTGTTTCCTCATGAGTCAAATGGAGATGGATGACCCCTGCCTCGTGGCCTTGGGGTTGGCTTGGGAACCTTTCTGTGCAAGGTAGAGTTTGTAACAGTAGCTAATATGGACAGAGTGCTTGTTCCAAGTGGGTCTTACCAGTCATCTTCTTGGAGACTTACGGCCACACTAGGAAGCAGATACTATTGTCACCCCATTCTAGAGGAGAATGCTGCAGCACAAAACATGGAGTGACTTGTCTAAGGTCACACAGGGACAAGTGGAGGAGTTGGGATTTGAACCCAGAGATCCACAGCTGGAAGCTCTGCTCTGTGCTTTTTAGCTGCCAACCCAGTGCCTGACCAGACAACTCTGAGGTCAAATCCTGCTTCTGCTGTGCACTGCTGTGTGTCCCTAGGCAAGACATTGAACTTTCTCTAACCCTCAGTTTCCTCATCTGAAAAATGGAGGTTATTATAGCCCCTGCAGTGTAAGATTGGTAAGAGGAGGGAATGTGATCGTGGATATTAAATGCTTAGCACGAAGTAAGCATGCAATAAACAATAGCTGTTATTATCTAGTGTTAGTTGCCCTTTCTTTTGTCCAGGTGTCACTTAAGGAGATGCTAAGGCCATTGTCCAACTTGGGAGAGGGCTGCAGAATCCAGGGCTGCTAGGATACATGGCAGCCACGAAGAGGCTCATGGGTGTTCATTCTCTTTGCCAGGGGACTCATTGGTGACCCCTGAGGTGGACTTCGACAGGCTCCTGGACAGCCTGCAGGATCTCAGTGAGCTGGTGGCAGAGGGTGACACCCAGGTGATGCCAGTGCCTGGCGGGGCACGGCTCCGCGTTCTGGAGCCCATTCCACTGAAGCTCTACCGGAATGGCATCATGATGTTCGATGGGCCCTTCCGGCCCTTTCATGACCCCTCCACACAGGTAGGACCTGGGCATGGGAGAGTCTGGTGCCCCTGCCTGCCCACCGTTAGTTGGAGATGGTGGAGCCAGCTCACCCCAGGCCCCACCTGCTCTCGATGGGGCACCCAGGCCCATTGCATGACTTGTGGGCCCCCACCAGTCCTGGGGCTCTGAACATTTCCAGAGTGTGATGCACTCACTGGGTAAACCCAGGGCCCAGGGCCTACGATCCAGGCAGGTAGCAGGGTGGGGGTCAACCCACAGGCCCAGTCGGCCCTCACCTTTCCTCTTCTTGCTGCAGCGCTGCCTCCGAGACATACTGGATGGCTTTTTCCCTTCAGAGCTCCAGCGACTGTACCCCGATGGGGTTCCCTTTAAGGTGATGGGCTGCTCCTCAAACCACCCCTTCCCTGTGTGGGGCTTTTGAAGGGAGTGAGGATAAACAGCCTCCTCAGACGTCAACCATTCTGAGGGGACCCCAGTCTAATACCTTCCAAGAGGAGAGTGAGCATGAAGCTGGGGTGGGAAGGGAGGGGGGACTCTGCCTTGGCCGCAGTTGCCATCACAGAGGCGGCGAGGTCCCAAGGCTGAGCCGCAGGCAGTGCCCTCTGCTGGCACACTGAAGGCATAGCCTTTGCCGTGGGATCACTGACCACCCAGTCCTTGTTCTCCCCATCATTCAGGACACCTTGGCAACCTCGGGACCTGTGGAGTCCATGCAAAGGTGGCCTGGCTTTCCCCAGAGGCTCTGAGGCCATCTGATTGGGGCGGAAGGCAGGGCCGTGAGCCACAGATGCGGAATGGGGTGGGGGGTGCGTGTGCAAATGTTGGGACCCGAGGACTTGAGATGGAACCGGTCCATGGCTGGGGGTGTTTGAGACCCAGGGTTCCCGCTCTGGGGGCACATGAGGCCACATGTTCCAGAGGGTGGTGGGTAGTTCCACAGCAAGGGCATGTGAGGTAGCCTGTGCCACCCAGTTCAGAAAATAGCGTGAGTCATGTCTGGGGGTGTCCATGCCAAGATGGGGGCCTTGGAACTTTGCCTTGATGGGGCCAGCGAGCTGACATGTGCAGTGATGGGGTCTGTGCTGCAGACTAGACAATAGCAAGGCTTTGCCCTCTCCTGACGCCTTCGTACCCTCCCTCACGGTCTGCTCCTGAGGGGGTTGCCTTGATGGGGCCAGCGAGCTGACATGTGCAGTGATGGGGTCTGTGCTGCAGACTAGACAACAGCAAGGCTTTGCCCTCTCCTGACGCCTTCGTACCCTCCCTCACGGTCTGCTCCTGAGGGGGGTCTCAGAGAGTGGCAGTACTGTGTCTTCAGCTGGCATGGATGAGGGTGCTGGCAGGAGAAGCGGGACCTGGGGAGTGAGAGCAGCATGAACAGTGGCTTTCCTGCTCTCTCCCAGGGCTTCAACGTCGTCCTGTGTAGAATGGAGACTGCATCAGACCATCCTTGGGGTCTTTGTTTGGGCAATCGGGGGTGGGGGGTGGGATCCAGGGCTGAAGAGCTGGGCCTGCTACCGTCTCCCTTCCTTCTTGCTAGGTGAGTGACCTGCGCAATCAGGTTTACCTGGAGGATGGGCTGGACCCGTTCCTAGGCGAGGGCCGCGTGGTGGGCCGGCACAGGTTACGCAAGGCCTCGGACGGGGTGAAGGAACACCCAGGTGAGCTTGGTCCGTAAGCTGAGCCAGGTGGCTAGGGGGCTGTGCAGGATAAGCTCCAGGTGGTCTCCACCATCACTCACAGTCCCTCCCCAGGCCAAGGTTCCTAATGCCCTCACTGCAGGCTCCGGAATGACCGCCGAGAAATTTCTGAATAGGCTCCCCAAGGTTGTGATCCGACACGGTGAGGTGATTGACATCCGGGGCCCCATCCGGGACACTTTGCAGGTGAGGCCAGCCCTAACTCCCCCAGTCCTCCTGGGGGAATTTTACTACCACCTCTGGCCCGGCCTGCTAGAGCCTCTGGTGTCTTGTCTGGAGGCTCTGGCTTGGGGTTCCCTGATGAGGGCCTGGAGGGAGAGATGAGTGCCTCTGAGCTATTCCACTGTCTCCTACACACTGTGGAGCTGGTGAGGGCTCTGGGCTGGGCTCCAGAGAGTAGCTAGGTTGGCTGTAAGAGGGGTGAAGTCAGAGTCCGGGTCAGGTGAGCCCAAGGCCCAGGCCATCCCCTTGAAGTCCAGACCAAAATATCCAGTTCCGTCCTGGGTAGCCCTTCCCGGCTGTTCTGCGAGCCCCTCAGTCTCCCTGGCCCTCACAGGCGCATCAGCCTCTTCTCACTCCCACCCTGCTACTCCTAGGTCTCCACCTGAGAGGTAGCATCCTTGGTTTCTCAGGACTCTCTGCCTCTACCCCCACATTGCTAAGTCCTGTCTGCTCTGTCCATCCCTTCTCTCCATCCCACTGCCACCACCCTAGTCTAGACCCCAATGTCTCTGACAGACAACTGCAATGGCCTCTCATTGGCCTCCTACCTCCACTCCTGCCCCTGCCTGCCATCATCTCCAGCAGCCTGCCCTGTGGAGTCCTCCTCAGTTCTTGGATAAAGCCCAGTTCCTTATCCTGGCACTCAAGGCCTCTCCTACAGTGCTGCCCCCCGACCCCCACCAACCTCTCTAATCTTTCCTTCTTTCCAGTCCAACCCGACTCCCAGCTTCATCCCTGTGAACTGCTGGCAGTCCCAAATGTATCACACCCCCTCTAGGAAGCTTCCTCTGACCTCAGGACCTTTGTTCATTCTGTCTGGAATATCCCTGCTCCCATTCCATTTCTAAGGATTCCTTATCCTTCAGTCATAGCTCAGGTGTCATTTCCCTAGGGAGCCTTCCCTGACCCCAAGCTGGGTTAGGCATCCGTCCTGGTCCCATCTCTGTGGGGTTCTATCCTCCCCCATTAGACTAGGGAAAGGGTACTTGGGGAGACTGATGGGGCTGCCTCCCGGAGCCTCCTTCTCCTTCCAGTTCCTCTCCTCGGGCCCCAGTTTGCATAGAACGCCCCCTCTCCCTTTGGCTCATTGGTCTATCCATCCCTGGGCAAGGATGAGTCCCCTCTCAGGGTTGGGGGGACGACTCAGGGGGAGCCGAGGGCTCTGTCCACTCTCCATTGACGCCTTCCAGAGCTGCTGCCCATTGCCTGTCCGGATCCAGGAGATCGTGGTGGAGACGCCTGCCTTGGCTGCTGAGCGGGAGAGGTGAGGGCAGAGCAGAGAGGCGCAGGCCTGGGGGTTGGGCAACAAGGGAGCACTAATGGCCTCTGGGCCCACAGGAGCATAGCATCACCTAACTCCCCGGCACCCCCGCTCTCCATGCTGCGTATCAAGTCTGAGAACGGAGAGCAGGCCTTCCTACTGATGATGCGGCCTGAGGACACTGTGGGCGACGTCCGTGCCCTGCTAGCGCAGGCCAGGTGGGCACAGGTGGGGGGCTGGGGCCACAGGGGTCCTCTGGGCCTCTGGCCCCTGGTTTGATCTGCTCCACCCGGTTCCTAGGGCCGTGGATGCTGCTGCCTTTGAGATCTTCAGCACATTCCCATCCACAGTCTACCATGATGATGCACTCACACTGCAGGCTGCAGGCCTGGTGCCCAATGCGGCGCTGTTGCTGCGGGCACGACGGGCCCCGCAGTCCAGCCCCAGCTTTGGATCTGGTCCCCATCCTGGCCCCAGCCCCAAATAAAGTGCCCGTCCCTGACACCAGCTGCTCTGTGAGGCTCTCGGCGTCCCTCTAGCTGGGCGCAGAGGAAGGCCAGGCCCAGCTGGGCCAGGGAGGAGGTGGTGTGGACCTGCCCCTCGTAACTCCAGCCCCAGCCAGCGTGGGCCTGGATGCTGGGTCTTTGTCCTCTAGGTTCCTCTTTCTCCCAAGAAGAGCTAAGTGGATCCTATGAGGGGAGGGATCCAGTGGAGGGAGGGAGTGGCCCCAGCTGGGTTAACATTCTCGGCCTCAGTTGGGGCAGCAGAGCCTCCCTGTGCAAGTGTGCAGCTAGTAGACACCTGTGCACGGATATGCAGACCAACGAGCTCGTAGGGACACTTTCTCAATGCTGTGCACTGCCACTGTCTCAACAGTATGCAATGCCACTGCCACAACTACACCCATGCCCCCAAACTGACAGAACTGCAGCTGTGCACCCACTCCCGTGACACACCCACACTTAGCCAATCTGCTGTAACACAGACAGGCAGCCACAGTCACTGACGGGCATGCAAATGTGCAGTACACACCAACGACAGGGTTGATACAGATACCATCACATGCATGTGAACTAGAGGGTGGCCCACTCGATTGCCTCCAGAAATCACTGGTCCACACAGGTATGTGTGTGCCAGACACATATCCAGACACATGCACTAACACTCAGAGGTGACAGACACATGAGGCCAGCTCAACCGACCTGCTCATGATGTACAGCCTCAGCACAATCACATCCACCAGCCTTACCCAGGGCAGGGACCTGGGATATCTAGGCCACAACCAAATAGACAATGCCAATGGAATGGGGCATTTAATTGTCTCAAGGGTGCTCCTGGGAGAAGGGTTGCGGGGCCTTTGGCAAAGCTCTGGCTAATGGAACCAAAAGAGGTGCCCATCAGCCAGTGCCAGGCAGGTTGGCAGCCCCAAGGCTTGGCTGGGGAAGCCAGCACTGGAGCTGATGCGTAAGACAATTTCTGAGACTTGTGGGTGAGGAATGTGGCCTTTGAACGGAGGAGAGGGGGCTACAGCTACAGAGGGGAGGAGAAGGGGCCTGGATGTGGGGGAGGGACTCCAAGATGAGAAGGTTAGGAATGACAGGGAGTTGGTCACAAGGTCCTTCATGGCTGAGTGAGGACTGTGGGGAGAATGTGGTGACGGAGTCCAGTGGGAAAACCGTGGGCCGGCTAGACTCAGGCCAGCTTCAGGAACTCCTGCAGCGTGTTTTGTTCCACGGCCTCAACGAAGAGCTCATAGTCCTGGGGGAGGGGAAGCAAGGGGTGGTCACCTGAGTGCAGATGTAAGAGGCCCCAGAACTTTGTCACAGGTCCGACCCTGGCTGGAGTCCCCTCCTACAACACTCCCCCCACCCCCAGTCCCAAGGCCCATACCCCACAATACTGGTCCCCGTTGACAATCTGGGGTGGGGTGGCCTTGGGGTTGCCCGCCAAGGCTCTCATCTCATCCCTCAGGGCGTTGTCCTGGGAGATGTCCACCAGCTGGTATTGGATGCGCTTTCCGTCCAGGATGCGGGTCACCTCACTCTGCTGGGACTTGATCTGGGGGCAGAGGGTGGGCAGGGGTTAGTGGGCAGCCTGGAGGATTTATGGGGGGAATCCTGGGCAGGGTGAAAGAGGCTGTGACTGAGCTTTTGTCCCTCTGAATCCTTCCACACCCGAGGGGAGGGTCTGGCCACTAGGAGTTGGGAGGGGGAGTCAGGCTTGAGGTGGTGCAGGATGAAGAGAGGGACTACCAACCATGGGACAGGTCAGAGTGAAGGGAAGTGGGACAGAGCTGAGGGTGGGGACAGCCAGGAGCTCCGTGAGAAGGCAGGGTAGGCCTGGGGGAACGTGGTAAAGGGCTACCCGTGCCCCGCACACACAGTGGAGAAAAGGAGGGGCAGGATAAGGTCGTGGTCAGGGTCAGCCCGGTGGTGGGGGTACAGAGAATGGGTGTCCGAGTGATGGGGGATGGGCGTGGGCCTCCATGCTGGGGCTGCTGAGGACCCAGGATGCCCGGTGAAGGGGCTCAGGATGGGGCAGCGAACCCCAGCCCGGAGAGGCCGTGCCCAGCACCTCACCGCCCCCGCCCCGCCCCCAGGACTGATCCCAGGTCCGGAGTGCCGGGTCACGGCCCGCGCTCTCCCCTAGCCCCGGCCGGGGGCGCGCACTTACTTCGCGGGAGCCGGTGACCGACGTGCTGTAGACGCGCAGGCCACTCATGCTGCGGGTAGACGGACGTGCAGACAGACGGAGGGGCGGCGGTAGCGGCAGCGAAAATGTGGAGGCAAAGGCTGGTGTCAGGACTTGAGAGACTGGGCTCAAGCTGGCCCTTGTTAAAGAGCCACAGCTGGTCTTGGGGTGGCCCAGATCAACCCCAACTCCATGCTGCAGATGGCACTCCAAAACTGCTGCTACCCCCAGCAAGAACGGACTCCAGCAACCAGCCCCACTTTGGAGACTTAGCTATCTAGAGCTGGACAATGCCCCTCAGAAGTCCCCCCAGGTCCAGGGCTCAAACAGGTAATAGCTCAGAAAGACAACCTTTTCTCTCAGAGGCAAGCAGTGCCCTGATTTGCTCTTGGAAAGCCACTTCGCAGAAATTCAGAGGCTGCCAACTTCCTTCCTGAGAGGACTGCTGAATTTCCAGTGACAAACTTGCTCTATAACTCTGGGCAGCTTTGCCCAGCAGAAAGTGGTGTGGGAAGAGATCATATTTGCCCCCATAGAATGACAGATGGGTGGAAGTAGCAGAGAGATGGACATGAGGCTGGACCTGCCAAAGGTCCCCTTGCTGCAACCTGGGGAACCTGGCTAAACACCCAGTCTTTGGCTCCAACAAGTCAAAGCAAGGAATGGGGAAGGGCAGTGGTGATGGAAGACTGTGGGAAACCGAAGAGTCTGTTAAATGTTTTATTTTGTAATCAAAATAGGCAATACAAACCAGTTGACATAACAAAGATTCATATAAATATCAAAGCAAGGAATGGGGAAGGGCAGTGGTGATGGAAGACTGTGGGAAACCGAAGAGTCTGTTAAATATTTTATTTTGTAATCAAAATAGGCAATACAAACCAGTTGACATAACAAAGATTCATATAAATAACTGCTTATAAACTTTATGAGGAAAAATACCCATGAGCATAGTGGCTGGGCTCCCAACACTGGGTGGAGACCAACCAGGCAGCTCTGCTTTTAGGAGGCAGGAGCCCAGAGGCTGAGCACATGGATGGGTGGGGCAGCTTTGAATGGAAGAGATAAGTCACTCCATAAATAAAACACAAACTTCTAAAAACACTTAAGAAAGAGCCTCATTCAGGCCCAGGAGTGAGGTCCAGGATGCTGCCAACAGCCCAAAGCATAGCAAGAACCTTGTAGTGGCTGACTCCGGGCTCCTGAACTGCTTGGTGCTCCCCCACACTCACACACGGCCCCTGCCTGGCCTGGCTCCAGATCTAGAGGAGACCTGGGGCTGGCGCAACAACCAGAGACAAACAACTGTGAGATGCTCCTTAAACCAGGAGGCAAGAAAAACCAGAAAGCTGAGGGTCCAAAGGCCCCAGGAAAACAAACAAAACCCAGAAAACACCAAAAGCTGTATCTTAAAGCTGACCTGTACTAGGTACTATGAAATTTCAAGGAGGCCACAGCAGGAAAGAGAAAGGACCTCCCACCCCCAACATAGGAGAGGCACAAATCAGAGGGCTGGGCATAGGCTCCCTCCCTGGAGAAACAGGTGAGCAGCTTGATAGTTGCCCTGTGGCCTTCTAGGAAAAAATTTTGCCCAAGCCCAGAACCACAGAGAAGAGTTTGCACTCCAGGCCCTAGAAGAGGGATACCTGGAAGGCCTGAGAACAAAGGAGAAGGGAGCTGTGCTAACCACATGGCCAGGGCTCCAGGGCAGCGAAAGAAAATGGCATGGTAGGCAGATTAAGGAGCCCTGGCTGTAATACCTAGGTCCCCAATCCTAGCGGGTACTCTGCTAATGAACAGATCACCCTGAGGCTTCTGCGAGTACAACAGCCCTGAGGAAAAAGCAATGGGACCGGGCCTGAGAAAACCCAGAAAGCCAGTTCAGTTCACAAGTAGGCTGGCACGTGGGGCTTGAGAATTCTCAAATGGCCACAGTTACCAGTACTCAGGCTTTCCAGGCCCCTCTAAAAAGCTCTGGGCATCAGCAGGATCAAAGTATGGAGTGGCAATGAACGAGGGTCTATCCTAGAGGATGGAAAAGGGAGGTATGCAGCCTGTTTGCCTCTGATGTCAGCCTAGGGCTGGGAACAGTTTGTGAGGGACTTATCAGTTGTACCTGCAACAGTTAATTAGTAACTCACCCTCAAAGGGTGAGTTAGGAAAACAGGACAAATGAAATTTAACAAGGCAAAGCCAGTGTGGGGCAGGGCAGGCACAGTCCCTTAATCAGCCCTTGGCCCCCAGATGCAGGCTCTCATCTTCTCTCAGCCTCCTCTCTGGGAATAGCAGTAGACAGGAGACAAGAGATTGTCAGGACAGGAACCTGCTGGACTAGGCTCTCAGCAGCCCAGAGCCTCCCTGGGGGAATACAGCCTGTCCCACCCCTAGCATTCCTCACTGTGTGACACAGTTTTCTCCCATGTCCTGGGCGTATCTGTCTGACATGGTGGTCCTTAAGTCCTCGATGTCACGACGCAGCTGTTGAACCTCTTCTAGTTTCCTCCTGATCACATCTGGCTTCTGCAAATCTAGCTGAGTGTCTGGGTGCTGTGCCGCTGGGGAGAAGAGCATTTCAAGAGAATGTTAAGTCAGCTGAGAGAGACATTTTCATGTGGAGGGGGCAGTATGGATAGGCAGTACCTTGAGGCCCATGGTCTTAGGACACGACACTTTTAAAAAAGCAGCTGGGGATAGTGGGCTGATAGCTTGCTGCCTATGGCCCACGTTTTGTTTGTCCTGCATGCAAGTACCCTATAAAGATGCCTGTTTCCAAAACAGATTCACTGAATACCTACTTTGTAAAACACATAAACTTCCAAAGGGCAGTGACCAGGCCTATGCACCATGTCCACACATTACCATAAGGATAGGAAAGTTGAATGGGGTTGAGAAGAGAATAAAGGCCCCTCTTTCCTGGGTCCCAGACTGGCCTGAGGACTCACAGTGAATGCCCAGGAGCAGGGAGAGGTTGGGGTCATGGCCCTGGGCCCTCTGGGTCACAATGCTGCAGACAGCCTGCAGATCTTGAAGGCAACTGGCTAACTCCTGATGCAGTTCAAGTGCCAGCTGAGCTGTGTCCGGTGAAGATGGAGACCCTGGTTGGGCCTGGCGCAGGTGTTCCTGGAGTGTCAGATTCTTCTCAATTAGGTCCTGGTTTTGCACTGAAAGCTGAGCAGATAGAAGGATAAGCACATTAATCCAGGCCCAGGGAGAGGCATAGTATCTGTACATGAGTATGCATGGGTGTGGATATATGTGTGCAGATGGGAGAAGATGAGTCACAGGTGACGTCCCCCTTCCCCACCACTACCCCTGCCAATAGGCTTACCACACTCCCCCCTACTAATATGAGTATCAGGCCTGGTTCCTCCTGTGGGTAGGTTGGGCCCACAGGGCTCCAGCATTAGAGAGGAAGCCACTCAGCAGGCTCTGAGTCATCAGCCTCCAGGTTTCTGTTCAGGAACCAGAGAAGATGTTCCCACCCCTAGGAACTCTATCTGAAGCCAGTCCCTCAGCCAACTCTGTTAGCCAGGCTATTAGAGAAGGCTTAACGTGAACTGTGAAATCTGAGGAGACACTGGTTTCAATCTCTCCCTACCACCCTTACAAAAGTGGCCACCAGCCAGCCTGATCACAGTATGTCAGAGAAATAAAGGGGGAAAGGAAGACAATGTGACAGCTAGTTGCCACCAGATGAGGGGGCTGGAGAAGCTGGGGACCTGGAGGATACAGCGCTGATCCTGCCTTTTCAAGCCCTCACTTCAGTGGAATTAGGCTTCACTACATAGACCAGCTGTTAATGTATGTGTCTCTTTCCCTCCCTCTCCCTGACAGCTAATCCACTTTTCTTCCCTCCCCACCTCTATTCTGTTTTAAAGACTGAATAGAGTTCCTCCTGCAGTCCCAGCCCTCTACCCACACTGGGCCATGTGACAATCCCAGCTCTGGAGGACTCCTTCCTAGGCACTTGGCCAGTGAACTTGGTCGCCCCCTGCTGACAAATGTGTTTACTGCAAGAGAACCACTAAACCCTCAGTCTTCTTGAACCCTCCCTCCACAACCCCAAAAACCTGTGGCTGCAGGCAGGCAAAGGGAAAGAGAATGACTTTCCACATCCGAAAAGCATTCCCGGGTAATTATGGCTACTCTAGGCTTAGGGTCTTTTAATGTAAAAGATGATGCAATGTATCTTCCCAGTCCTCTGCCCAAAAAGCTCAGCAGGAGCTTCTACAACACTGAGACTCTTATTGAGATAGGGATGGGGAAGGCTGACAGAGAAATCAGGTTTGTGGATTTAGTGCCAAGAGCCTGGCTGATGCTGCTCACCTCCTTCACGGCTGTGCGCAGCTGCTGCAGGGCTGTCTCCCTTCGCTGGGCCTCCTCTTTCAGGGCCTGGCTTGTTCCTTCTTCTTGAGCCACTTCCTGCTCTAGACTCTGAATCCCATGGGAAGGCATTGTGGGAGAACACAACAGGTGTAACAAGTCTGGTTCATACCATATCACCTCCAGCCTGGACTCTATACTGAAGTCCCACCCCATCCACACACTGCTGATAGGAGATTATTTTAGAACAGCCCTGACCTGTGACTTCCCATTTAAACCCTCCTATAGCCCCTGACCACTATCAAATAGAAGCCAGCTTCTCAGCAGGACATGCAGGCAATCTGGCTCCTAGCTACTCTTCTAACCATCTCTCTCTTCAGCCTCCACTCCAGCCACACTGAATGACTGGCCCTCATCCCCGAAGGCTCCAGCCTCAATGCCTTTGCTTGCTCCCCTTCTCCTTTGCTCTAACTGCCTGTCTGCTCTGCCTGTCACTCCAGGAAACCCACAGGGCCCACCTGAACCTTCATCAACCTGCAAATCAGATCCAGTGAATCCTAACCCTACCATACCACTCATAGCTCCATAATGGCTCATGAGAACATCTGCTTCATGTTCTACCTGACTGTGCATGATTCCTCCCTCCACTTGAACATAACTTTCTTGAGGACAGGGAATATGCCATTCAGCTGAGTTCAATATTTATTGAGCACTTACTGTGACAGGCACTGAGGATACTGAAAAGAACACCAAACAGTCCCTGTATTTGAGGAGTTAACAGTCAAATGTCCTTGACAATACTGTGTATTAAATGCTTTTGACAGAGATGGAAATGGGTAGAAGAGCATATTCACAGGCACCTAACCTAGTAACTAGTACATATATGTATGTGTGGAGGGGTAGTCAGGGTCAGGAGGGGGGAGGTATTTAAGTTTATCTCGTGTCTCTCATTCTTTTTTTTTTTTCCCTTTTTGTCTTTTTTCGTGTCCGGCAACGGATCGCAACCCTCAGTGTTGCGCCCGTACCGGACCGGGACCGGCAACGGGATCGCAACCCTTGGTGTTGCTCCCGCACCTCGCTCAGACAGTGAGCGGGACCCGGTCTGTACATGGGATCCGAACCCTCGGAGGGAGCGCCACCGCACTCCCAAGCGGCGCACTGTAGCAGTGCGCCACCGGGCCGGCCCTCGTGTCTCTCATTCTATTCATTCCGATTTCTCCCCAATTTTGAAGCTGACTAAACAAAGTGTAAAAAAAATTCTAAGGGGGCAGCGCGTGCCTCACTTGGGAGAAGTGTGGTGCTGATAATACCAAGGCCATGGGTTTGGATCCCTATATAGGGATGGTCGGTTAGCTCACTTGGGAGAGCATGGTGTTGACAACACCAAGTCAAAGGTTAAGGTCCCCTTACTGGTCATCTTTAAAAAAAAAAAAAAGTATATATATATATATATATTTTTTTTAAATTTCCCATTTTGTATTAAAAAATATAACTGGGGCTGGCCAGTTAGTTCAGTTGGTTAGTGTAGTGCTAATACCAAGGTCCAAGGCTTGACCTCTGTACGGCCAGCTGCAAACAAAACAAAACAAAACAAATAAACAACAGAAAAAAAACTGCCAAAGAGAATCACCTCATAACCACGAAATACCCCAGATGACCATGATGAATCTACCTAATTCCAGCAAATTCACCTGACATTTTAATTTGCCTGAGTCTCATCAAGGGTAAATATATCATTTAAAATGTTGGGCTTGGGGCCGGCCCGTGGCTCACTCGGGAGAGTGTGGTGCTGATAACACCAAGGCCACGGGTTCGGATCCCATATAGGGATGGCCGGTTAGCTCAATGGGTGAGCGTGGTGCTGACAACACCAAGTCAAGGGTTGAGATCCCCTTACCGGTCATCTTTAAAAAAAAAAAAAAAAAGTTGGGCTTTTTCAGTCTTTGTGGAACCTCAGAGTTCTGGAAAACTAACTTTGAGATCCATTAAAAACTCTACCAAAACTCTGGGATTTTAAATGTGTATATAAAACACTTAACAGGCATGACTATATCTCCTTACAGGCAGTGAAATAGGTGAACTAAATAGACATAGACCAACCCACATAATGACAAAGGCAGGATTGCAGCCTTCAAGTGTTCCTTGGAATGAGTACATTTCATGTGTTTCAGTGTGAAAAGCTTTTAGAGTCTGAAGAGAAACTCGAGTGAACCCGTGTTACCCATTACCCAGGATTTCTTGGAGAACTCAATTAAGGACACTCCCCATTCTTGCCCAAAGTAGAAACCAGGAGTCATCTTTGGTTCTTCCCTGCCACAAAGTTTTTTCTTTTTTATCCCCTTCTTTTTTCTGCTGATTAATTTTTTTCCGGCAGCTGGATAGATTTATGCAGGAATGTAGTGGGAACCCATAACCCCCTACATCCTGTCAGTCACTGATTCCTCTCAATTTAACCTCCTAAAAGTCACTTACATCTGTCCCCTCATATCTCCTCCCTGATATACTGCCTCATGCCAGGTTCCCTCATGATCTCTCACCATAATTTGTGCAACAGTCCCCTGGCCTTGCCTTTCTCCAGGCTGCCAATCTTCTTCCACACTCAAGCCTGGGTTGCAAACCTGACCACACCACACCCCAATTAAATAGATTCTCATCACCTACCTAAAGAATAAAAGCTAACTTAGTTGGATAGACAAGGCCCTCGCATAGCCTGGAACACCCAGCTCCCTACTCACCACCTTAAACCAAATACTTCAACAATATCAAACTGCTTGCAGCTCCACATTCAAACCATGCTGTTTCAGGGCTCCAGGTTCCAACTCACGCTGTTCTTCCTATCTGGAATTCCAATACCATCTTATCCAGCTCTTCTTGTTTGCCTGGCTAACTCCTCCTTATCCTTCAAGGCTTAGGATCTCCAAAAACCTTTCCTTGACCTACCATCCTCCACTGACTCTTCTGTGCTCCCACAGGGTAATATAGACATTGCCACCACAGTACTGTGTTGAAACTCCTATCGTGTTTGTCTGCCCAACAAGACGGTAGGCTCAAAAGCACCGACTGGATCTCATTTTTCTTGTATTCCTAACACCAAGCAAACTGCATGGCAGAGAACAATACAGTTAACCCTCAGTATCCATGGAGGATTGGTTCCAGGATACACCCCTCCTCCCGCCATGGATACCAAAATCTGTACATGCTCAAGTCCCCCAGTAAGCCCTTTGCATCTGCAGGTTCTGTATCCATGGATATGGAGAGCTGACTGTAAAATGTTGGCTGAATCCTAGAAATCCCATTAAGGCCCGACCACCATGTCCCAAGTATCCTGCTCACCTGTACTTGCGAGCGCAATTGATCCACCTTCTGCTGTTGCTTCTCTACAATCTGAAAGGCAAAGTTATCAAGTGTAAGGCTGATGGTGAGCTCAGAGGGCAAGGGGCTGCACAAAAATCTGTAATCTTGCTATTTAACCCACTGACTACAGCCCACTAATAGTGAGACCAGGGTGAAGACTAGTTAGTTCTACCTATAGAAATATAGCCCAGACTCCCAGTTCTGGCTAAGTAGCTTCATACTGCTGTGCTCCAGTCACAAAGAGATTTATATAAGAATGTAGTGTGGACCCATGACCATTACTCGGGGCAAAGGGGACCCCCACCCTAATGACTGCAGGCTAGTGGAATCAACTTTAAATACAGCCAATGCACATTCAGGTTCTTTGGTTCATGGCTAAAATTTCAGTTTAATGAAGCCTGCTGTATCCAGGGCTGTGATAGCTGATGTTACTTATAGCTTTGGTTACACTGATAATCCAAGAAAAGATTGAACAGGCCTGGCTTCCTGTCATTTAAGACCGCAGGCATTCTCTGAATCACTTCAGGGTCTTCTGTTTTGCTGACCTGCAGTCAGTCTCACCAGCAGGACCTTGGCTCTGTCTTCTCTGAATTGAGAAACAAGGCTACTTATTGGTTAGAACTTTGCCCAATGCAGATCACTTCAGGGTCTTCTGTTTTGCTGACCTGCAGTCAGTCTCACCAGCAGGACCTTGGCTCCGTCTTCTCTGAATTGAGAAACAAGGCTACTTATTGGTTAGAACTTTGCCCAATGCAGGAGAATCTATATGGGTCTGAGCCATGAATGAAGTGCACCAAGCTTCAGTGCACCATTTTCAGTCACCTAGTCTGGATGTTCAGAGGCATATCCCACCCATTAACTTCTGCCTGTATTCTAGATGAATAAAGTTTGCCTGTCATAAGGATGAATATCTTAAATACGAAAGTTACTATGCAGGGGCAACTTCTCAGAAAAGAGAGAAAAGCTCTCGGTAGGGAATCCTAGGTAGACCATGACCAACAATGGTTCCTTTCCAAACACACTATCTTCTCTTTCCTCCCAGCCTAACCCCGTTACAGAATGGACACCCTCAGTCACCTTTCGGAGGGAGTCACATTCCTTCTGCCAGGACTCCATTTCTGCTTTTGAACCACTGGCCTCCTCCACAGACTGCTTATCTTGCAGGCTGAAAGACAGTGGCGTCTTCAAGAACTTTGAAGTCAGAGAGTTGTAGCTTCAACTCCTGGTTCTGCTACTTATTGTATGTTTTGGGACAAGACATTTAGGCTCCTCCAAGCTGTAGCTGGGTATAATGACTTAGATTTGTTGTTATAAAAGGTGTGCCACACAGAAGCTGCTCAGTGTATGTTAGTTTTCTTCCCTAGGGCCAGAACCTGTATATACAATGTGACACCAATGCTGTAGCTGCCCAAGGCTCTTGTATTCCTTGTTCTGATATTAAAAAAAATAAACCTTCATTACATGTATTTAGATTATAAAAGGCAAACATGTACACTAGAAATTTTGGAAAATACAAGAGCTCCTTTTTTGACACACACAGTCTGGGACACAACCAACTTTGTCCCCTAACCCTGCTTCTGAATCCAACCAATGATCTCTTCCAATAAGTCCCCGTAATCACTTTATAGCATGACCCATCTGCTAAGATAAATGACAGGGACATTGTGGTCGAATATGGGATGAGAAATCCAATCCATCCCATTAGAAACTGGATTTGGTCCAAGAGGCTGTTGGATACAAAGATTTTTTTTCAGGAGGCTTAGCTCCCAAGACACCCTGAGAGTACATTATGACATCTTGTTTTGTTCTCAGAACCTGTGGTTGCAATGGAGAGCAATCCCTAGGACTGAGGAGAAACAGATGCCCCTGGTAGGCTTTAGCTAAGAAGGTTCAAAATAACCCCCAGTAGTCAACACCAGGACCCACTTTTGAAAAAATCAAGATACTTCACTTCCCAGTTTATAGAGTGTTTTCATTTATTCCATACCTATGTACCCAAGGATTGTTATATGCTAGGCACCGGGGTGGATATTTCCAAAGGACACAGTGATAAGCCCCCACTCCACCTCCACTCCATCCCAGAACCTAGCTCTCCACACCTTCGCTCAGTCCCACAGCGGTATTTACCTATGTCTAGTAGAGACGGATTCTGCTTCTCTCTGTCTCAGGCTTTCCAGTTGAACCTCCTTCTCTCTGCAAGTTGCCTGGGTCTCCTCCAACAATCTCTCCAGCTCAGTCACTCTCTCCTGCAGCTCTGTGCTCTTCATCTCAGAATCCTTAAGCTGAGAGATAGGATCCCAGGCTTAGGTCAATAAGCCAAGGAAGACTTTGTCTGGGTACCTCAAAAAACTGGCAGTCCAGTTGCAAATTTAACAGGTGTGAATCTGGACAGGAATCCTTTGGGATTTTCCTTTCAGGAAGCCAGAGTAACTGCACACAGCAGATGCTGAGAAAGTTCCCCCGCTTGGCCACTCCCTGCTTGCCCAGGCTATGACCAGATATTGCTGCTACCTGCTGGCTCTGCTTCTGATGGTCTTCCAGTGTAGGAAGGTCAGCCAGGTAGCGCTCCAAGGTCTCAATACGCTGCTGCTTCTCTCGGTTCTGTTCTGATTCCTTCTGACATTTCTTTTTCAAATTATTGATATGTTTATCACGACCCTTGACCTAGGGGGGAAAAAAAGTCAAGAATCTGTCTCCATTCACTCCTCTAGGACCCTGAACATGAAATTTTTCAAAGTGACCGTTGTCTCTGCCCTTGAGGCTGTGAATGTTCTATTGCAATAAAGGCAGAAAGCTGATCAAATTTTGCCATTTGGGATTAGGGCATAAACTGCAGAGTTAACAAACCTGAACTTTTCAATCAAGGGCAGAAAAGAAGGGCTCCTTGGAAAGTTTTAAAATTGGCAGCACTTCTACTGTATAATGAACAATTGTGTGGTCTTTGTCCCAGGTTCTATGAGGTGACCTCTAAAATTCATCAAAAAACACAAAAGCATACTATTCAGAAATATATAGGTATGTATCAGGGGTAAGGGAAGAGTTGAGGATAGATACCACTGTGGAGTTGGGCTGGGGCACAGAACTACAAAATTTTTATTATAAACCTACTGGTATTTGATTATTTAACACATGTTATTTTGATTAAAAATTTCCTTTTTAACAAGGCTTCTAAATCCTTGCTCTATGAATGGCACCAACATCACTTAGGAGCTTGTTGGTAATGTAGGATCTCAGGCCTGAGAATATGGATCTGCATTTTAAATAAGATCCTCAAGCAATTCTTAAACACATTAAAGTCTGAAAAGCACTGCTAGTTTTTTTGGATACAAATGGTGCAGAACTAAACAGTACTAAACTGAATTCCCAAAAGCATATGCTTTAGATACCAACTGAACCAAAAGATTTTAAACCAGCTTCTCTGATGATGACCAATCTCACCCTAAGGTAATTCTAAGAGCACTGGCAAAAATAAACTCCCAAACCAGCTGCACACATGGAATTTTTCTCTATTCTTTAGGTAGGATGAGGAGAAACCAGACTGAATAATATAAATTTACCACAGGTATTCAAACATCTTTCAACAACAGTGCCATCTAGTATGACTGCCCAGGCTGGTTTTCCACCCCAGCCAGCTGGCGGCACATCCCATCCTAAAACAGTGAGGAATTATACAGCTTTCCCCAACTGTGGTAGTTTTGTGGAGATAAAGCAGAAAGGAAGGGTTCCATTTCCAGCAGATGGGTTCTGCATGAGAAGCCAGTACAGGGTCTCACCCAATGGGCTTCTCCTGGTTCCAGGAACAGGGGCCAGAAATAGCCTAAGCTTTTTTGGCAGAGAGGGCTGACTGCCAACTCCTTTGTGATTTAGAGAGCTATCAACTCTTCAGCTCACCCTTTCTTCCTGTTTTTTCCCCTCCTCTGAATGCTTCTGCAATGCCACTTTGAGTGACTCCCTGATGAGCTGGACTTCAACTTCTGAAGCAGAGAGCTTCTTTTGAAGCTCAATCTTTTCTTTGCTCAAGGCTTCTGTCTTCTGTGCAAACTGTGCACGTAAGAAAGTGTTCTCTCGCTGCAATTCCTGCCAGAAAGATTCTCAATATATAACTGTTCATTACGCTTACAGTCCCATGTACTTTACTTATTCCCAGACAATTTCATGGACAAATATCTTTCTCCAAGAATTTCTTCAAGCAGTGCTTCTCAAAGTGTGGTCCTAGGACTAACAGCATCAGTATCACCTGATGCTGGAATTTCTCAGAAAAGCAATTTCTTTTTTTTTTTTTTAAAGATGACCGGTAAGGGGATCTTAACTCTTGACTTGGTGTTGTCAGCACCACGCTCACCCATTGAGCTAACCGGCCATCCCTATATGGGATCCGAACCCGTGGCCTTGGTGTTATCAGCACCGCACTCTCCCGAGTGAGCCACAGGCCGGCCCCAGAAAAGTAATTTCTTGAGCCTGACTCCTAGGCCCACTGAATCAGAAACACTGGGGATGGGTCTCAATAATCTGTGTTTTAACAAGCCCTCCAGATGATTCTAACGCACACGTCAGCACCACGCCCACCCAGTGAGCAACCGGCCATCCCTATATGGGATCCGAACCCGTGGCCTTGGTGTTATCAGCACCGCACTCTCCCGAGTGAGCCACAGGCCGGCCCCAGAAAAGTAATTTCTTGAGCCTGACTCCTAGGCCCACTGAATCAGAAACACTGGGGATGGGTCTCAATAATCTGTGTTTTAACAAGCCCTCCAGATGATTCTAACGCACACTCACATTTGAGAACCACTGCCTTAAAGCAGTACCTGAGGAGTTGTAGTATAATGGAAGGAACACAGGACAAGACATAAGAAGCCCTCGGGTCAAGGCCTGGCTCCCCTCCACTCATTTCCTGTATGATTTTAGGCAAGTTCTTCCTCCTTCCTGGAGTTCAGTTTTTTTCATCAGTAAATTAGAGAGAGGACTGAACTAGATTTTAATCCAAGGACCCTTCCCACTCTAATGTTCTAATACCATGAAATGGAATACTGCCTTAACAGGCCAACCAGGTAACAAAGCGAGCACTATAATCTATCCAATACCCATCACTCAAGAGCCCAAATTGTAGACACTTGGTCAAACAAAGCAGGCTTCTTTTCAAGCTCTCAACCCCCACAGCCATTGACCTCAGTAAGAATATGGTTTTCTTCAGGTGTCCTAGACAGAATAAAAATAAGAATGGGTCTAAACCCACCATTACCTCTGCCTCTTCCTCCGTTTGGCCAGGGCTGGCAGATTAAGACTTCTCAGAACATCACCCAACTCTAGGACCTTACTATCTACCTTGTTCTGCCTTCCTTTTCTACCAAGGATGTCCTGAATCTGAGGCATCTGGAATCTTACCCGGTTCTATGCTCATGCCTTTTTTGCTCCTACAAGGGCACAGCAAAGGGTGCTTTATAATCAGAATGTTTACTCTTTGAGGGCAGGGACACCTACATCACTTGATTCCCTTTGTATCTCCTGGATATTTAATGGCGCTAAGCAAAGAGAAGACAGAGTTGTGACAAGAAGAATGCCATCCTAAGTGCAAATGCTTACCTGCAGCCTCATCAAGCAGACATCCCCAAAGGGGGTAGGGCGGCCTAGAAGGGCACTGTGGACTTGTAGTTCACTCTCTCGCACTTTCTGCTCCAGCTGATTGATGTGTTTCCTCTGCCTGCAAAAACCAGTAGAATCAGGTCTGGGGTCCTGGCACTAACCCCCTCACAATATGAGCCTCTACTCTCCTTAGTCAGATGGGTACAATCCCTACCATGTAAGCAAAGACTTTGGATTCTGGGCATCACTGTTTTGCTGAAGGAGGAAGAGCACATGAGAAAGACGACTTGGGGGAAATGAGGAAAGATCAGCTGCAATGAACCAGCTACCTCCTTGAGGCACTCCATAGAGCCCCTGCAGAGATACACAACTGGCCTATCACATTAGTCAGATACAAGACTAGGCTGCTTATCAACCTAGCTCTACCATGAGGAAAGGCATCAGCCTAAACAGAGGGAGATGCACTGCTCTTCATAAGACTTTATTAGGTGGCCTCAGTGGACCTGGTTAGAGCAGAGGCTGGCCCTATGGCACCCCTTGCCCTCTTACTTGTCAATGAGGAGCTCCTTTTCCTTTAGAAGGTGTTCATTACTGTTTAAGATGCTGATCCACTGTGCTGGCTCTAAGATGGGCAGTGAAGGAGCAAAAGCAGCAGGATGGTGGCAGACGGCTCCATTCTGAAGCTGAAAGACAAGCAGGCCTTCTCAGAGGAGCTTGATCTTGACCCAGAGGCACCTGAGAACACCTGAATAGTACCTAACTGGGTCTGTAGTCAAGACCCAGTTTGGCTCAGCCTGATAAAACTCAATATTTATGAAATAATTTTAGCTCTGATGCATGACTGGAAAGAACCTGCCAGGGAGATTTCTGCCAACTTAACACTCCCTGTTCAGAAAGGCTTTAGTTTCTAAGAAAAGGTCAGTTATCTTTTATTATCTGACAACACAGGCAAACCAGGAGCCAATATGTTCTCACCAACAAGAGAAGAAGAGCATGTCCTGCTCCCTTCCTTCTCACTCTTCAGCAGCACAAGGACTTTTTAAAAAAAAATTACGAAAGTGGTACAGTGGAAAGAATACAAGGGTTCAAAGATGATTTTTATACCCTAGCTCTGCCGCTTACCAGCTTTGTGACCCTGGGAAGACTACTCATTTTAAGAATCTGTTAAGTTTCTACATTTACCTTACCATGGTGCTATGAAGATTAAATAAGATTCTGTATGTGAAAGTACCTCACCTAGTAAGTATATAGTGAGTACACCATCAGCGCTAGTGTTCTACCTTTTGGGGTTCTCCCTTGTAACCTTTTCCTTTGGAGAACCTATCTGGTGTTTATTAGACCACTAACAGATTAATGGCCAACAGCTCACAAGCCTTCATCTCCTGTCTAAAAACATCTTCCAGAGGGCCAGCCCGTGGCTCACTTGGGAGAGTGCGGTGCTGATAACACCAAGTCAAGGGTTAAGATCCCCTTACCGGT